TGTTACATGCAAAATATTGTAGGTGTGCTGGTAACTGGTCACTAATAACTGAATGGGGCAGCACTGCTTTATGGAGTAGCACGTCAAATTATTGGTTTATACTTTATATTATTTAACGACAGCAGTTGAACCACTTGCACTAGAGGCCAATTTACAGTGATGACAGCTTTTAACATGGACAACAGCTGGTGATTGATAACAGCTTTCAAAATAGATGAGAGCTAGAAATGGTAATGGGTCTCGGGGTCCATAGTCCATACGAAAGTAGGTGCACATGTCATCTCCATTTCTATTTTCAGCCCCACCCCTTGTTAACGATAGGAATGAAGATTTTTATGGAAATTTTTGTGAAAATTTTTGAAACACCTCCCATCCCCATTTCCATTTCCATTTTCATTTCCAGCCCCACCACTCGTTAATGATAAGAATGATAATTTTTATGGAAATTTTTGACAGACACATCCCATCTTCATTTCCATTTTCAGCCCCATTACCTGTTAATAATAGGAATGAGGACTTTTTGAAAATTTTTTACGGACACCTCCCATCTTTATTTCCATTTCCAGCCCCACCACCTCTTAATGGTAGGAATGAGGATTTTTATAAAAAAATTTTAGGAACACTCCCATCCTCATTTCCATTTCCAACCCCATCACCTTATAGGAATGAGAATTTTTATGGAAATTTTTGACAGGCACATCCCATCCCTATTTCTATTTCTAGTCCCATCACCGGTTAATGACAGGAATGAGGATTTTTATGGAAACTTTTAACGGACACATCCCATCCCCATTTTCATTTCCAACCCCATCACTTGTAAGGAGTGTTCATATCCAATCCAATCCGATTGAGTCGACCTAAACTGATCCAATACAATCAAAAATCGATTCAAACCAATATAAAATTGGGTTGGTTTAAATTATAAAATTTTAAAACCGATATAATTGGTTTGATTTGTGATTTTATCTTCAAACCGCCTGAACTGTCTGATTACAAAATAAAATCTAATTATAAGGTAACTTAATTAAATAATATAATATAATTTTTTTGTAGTATTTTAAAATTTCTTTTTTTTATTTTACAAGATAATAACTTCATTAATTTAATTAAAAAATAAAAATAAAACATGTCCATATTTCTTAAGTTATTTTTCCATTTTAATCATGCACCATAACCCTAATTTTTAATTTTTAATTCACCTGTAACTCTATCCCTTGAAAATTGGTTTGCGCCTTTACTCTTTGAATTCTGAATTTCTAATTTGTTTCTAAAATAATATTATGATTCTCCTAACTAAATTTTAAAAAAGTATCATTCTAAAAGTCTTAAAATAATATAATAAATCTAGTCTTGATATTCTACTATTATTAGATATTTGGTTTAGAAGTTTTAAATTTTGATTATGAATGCTTCTAATCAATTTTAGTGATATTTATGTTAAATTTTATTTATTTTTAACAGGATGTAGAAGATGTGATTAAATTATTAGTGTATTAAGAAAAAAACTAATTTTAATATTTAAGAATCATTTACATTGTGCTAGAAACTTGAAGTCATCTTTTATTGTTCTTGGTGCCTCTAGTGATGTAACCAAAAAGAATTTTTAAAGCTTTTGAATTTTTACAAATGTAAAAGAGATAAAAACTTATTTATAATTTATACATTTTATTATGTTTTTACTAATTTAGATGTTAATGTGTTTTATAGTTATGTTTTCTATTTGATATTAAAATACTTTTACAGTATCCCATATATTTAATAATGATAAAACCGATCAATCCGAATGAACAACACCGATTTGATTTAAATTGGATTGGTTTGGTTATCATGTAATAGTGGATTAGATTTGTTTAAAAATTTTATAAACCAATTAAATTAGATTGGTTTAAAAAATATTAACATTCAAATCAAACCACTGCGAATACCCCTAATCACTTGTTAATGATAGGAATGAGGATCTTTATGGAAATTTTTGAGGGTCATAAATACTATGTCTCATGGTGTGGACTATGAAGAATGGTAGGTTTCATAGGTATATGATTTTTTATTGATATTTTTTATCTTGTGTTTTTAAAATATAAGATAAAAATGTAATAAATATATCATTTTATAATTAATGTATATAAAATATAATAAAATTTTATTGAGATTTTTTATCTTGTGTTTTTAAAATATAAGATAAAAATGTAATAAATATATTATTTTATAATTAATGTATATAAAAT